GGCCGTCCCCGCCGGGGGGGACACGCCCACAGCGCGGTTGCTGTCCCCGGCCCCGCGGCATGTCCTGCCCCGGCTTGCAGGGACGCCGTGACTCTGGCTGGGATTTAAGGTGCGCTTCCCGCCGAGCGGTGTACCCTCGATCTCCTCGGGCGTTATTTTACACCTAGCCCCTCAGTTCAGTGCAGCGATACCAACGGTAATCCCTGTTTGGAAAGGGTGGTGAACATTGTCATGGCTTGATGGTATGCAACATGCTCTTGGTGTTTAAATGGAACACGTATGTCACAGGGGCTGGTCCTGCTTAAAACTCTGCAAGAGGCTAAGGCCCACGTGATTTTTTAAATTCATACAGGGAAGCTAATGAAGTGAGGATGTGGTAAGCTTTGCCACATTGTAAAATCCTACTTAGAAAATTATCAGTTTGTAAAAAAAGCTAAAAGGTAGAAAAAAAAAAAGTAGTTTCTAATATTACAAATTGTATCCTTTGCACTAAAATGCAATTCAAGGGAAAGAAAAGGTTCTTCAGAGGAAAAATCCTGGACATTGAAGAACTGATGATCGGTATCTGTTGGTGTCTGGTTGTCCTGCCCTGTGACCGTTCCTGGTGCAATTCAAGAAGCAATGCAGAAAATACGACGAGGATGCTTCAGGAGCATCTGCTCGCAGCACTGGGTGAGACACGTCGGAGCTGACCCCCAGACCAGGGTGAAACTCCCAGTAACTCCTGAAAAAAAACCACCAGCGACCACACATGCTTCTCCCAGGTATGGGTACGTAATGAGGCCTGACTTTCCCTGTGGGTTGTAGGGTGTTGGTTTAATCTATGGGATGGGGTGTAGTTTACCCTAATTAGCTTGCTGTGGAAAGTTAATTTTGCTTGAAATGTTCTTGTATCTCTATAATCTCTCTTCTATATCTCTTGGCCTTCAAAAGTCAGCCACTGGGCAGAATGGCTGCAGCTCCTTCCCCTGGTGTGGAACAGGTATAGACAATTTTAGAACTTGATTTATGTGTACGGAAAGGTCAATATGAATGTATAGTCTTCACTCATTGCAACTGCTGCCTTTATTGTTATTGCTGTTGTGGTGGATCACTACAGTTCTTCCGTCATTTGTTAAGTAATGTAAAAAAAAACCCCAACATCAAAACCAGGGATAATACTCTCCAATTTGTTTGTAAAACAGTGTGTTTTGGGAGTTTATAAAAATGCTGTAAACTATGCCTTAGAGGGCTAACTGATCTGTTGTATTTTTATTAACCAGAATGAAACCAAAGATCACTCTGAGTTGTACTTTCTGTTTATAATTTACAGGTCTATTTTACTTGTCCTTTAATAATACAACTGCTATAGCTGTGACAAAACAGGACCCTTCTGAGCATGAATAAACACAGAAGAAAACAGTTCTCAGGAAAAGAAAGCTCAGTGACTCTAGAGAGTCATGGAAAGGCTCTAGTAAATGTTTAAGGTTTATTGTTGTAAGCTTTATGTTTGTCTTTTTTTTTTCTTAAAGATGAATAGAGCTTGGTAGTGAGAAGAGGAAGTGCATTTAAGTGTACGCAGCAGAGGAAATTAAAGTCTTCAGAGCTTTCTGTGAAGTATTTAATCTGTTCTGCGCTGAGTTGTACAAGGACCAAGCGCAAGGGCCTGAGCTTAAATACAGCTCCCAGACCAATGGAGGAAGACGAGTGCACGGGCCTGGCCCCCGATTAGGCTTCTTGCTGTTTTTTTTCTCTCACAGCTTAGGTGTTCTCACAGCAGTCTGATCCAAGGCAATGCAGTTCTGCTTTCAGAGCTGATCTGGAGCACAGGCAGCCATGGAAGGGGGTTGAGGTTGCAGAGCCTGTTGGTGCACTTAACTTTGACAAAATGTAATCAAGATGGTCAAGTTTCTTTCTGTAAGCTTTTAGGAAATTCACCAAAAGCTTGTACAGGTCTCCAGTGCTTCTATTTCTAGGGCTGGTCCGCAAGGAGCAGGCCTTTTCCCTGCAGACTGCCTGGCAGTTTATACTTCAATGAAAAACAGCTGTTGACTATGAAACCACAAGATTTGGTGGCCGCTTTCTCTAGCCGTAGGCCTGCCAGAAGAAAAGCTATCTTGCTGTACGAAGAGAAATACAGCTAAAATTGCATATCTAAAATTGCTCATGTCTTCATTCTCTGCTAGGGGACAGCTCTACTGTTACTTGTCTGCGGCAGCCAATGCTATCTCAGAAGTAAACTATGATTACGGTAGAGGCTTAACTTTGTGTAAGAAAGTTTGAGTAGTAATG